AGGTACAGTTGGTATCTGTCTCCCTCCCAATCACATAGCACCTTCCTACATAATCAAAGTCTCTTTTTAAATCTGTGGGACCTACAGGGATGGAGTTCCAGGCAAGGTAAGTGTGAGCTTGTAGTTGTTATGTGCCCTCGAGTCACCTGTGACTCATAGCGACTCTGTACAACAGCCCTAAACCCTGCTCTGTCCTGTGCCAATCTTATTGTCTCTGACACACCCACCCCCATTACCCCAGTCACTGAATCAGTGCATCTCATTGATGGTCTTCCTCTCCTGCGCTGTCCCTCCACCCTCCCAAGCATGCTTATTCGTATTTATTTATTACTCAGTAGTAAACAATTTCTCATAGTTTTCACCAGGTAGGATAAAAGCCCATGCTTACCTGGCTTGTTGGGTAATCTGCTCCAGGTGCACGGGAAAGGTAAACAGAATGGGAAAAGTTATTGGTCCAAGTGCTGGAATGGGAGACTCAGAAGAGGCGGGTCCTGGACAAGACATTGGGTAACGCCCTCTGGAGAACTTTCTTTCAGATTCCAGCTCAGAGCCAGCTCAGAGTCTTGCCAGCTTCCTTGAAGGTTTCCCATCTACTCTGAGTCTCGGTTTACCGTTAGAATGCCCACTCCAAACCCTTTACTGTTTAATCAATTCCAACCTATTGTGACCTAATGTGTTTCAGGGTCGAACTGCTCTGTATGGTGTTCCATGGCTCTAGTGGGATTACCAGGAGCCAGAGCCAACCTGACAGCAGCTGGGCTGTTTTGGTTTGGAATCTTACAGCTCAAACCAGGCCTTTCTTCTGTTGTGCTGTGGGGTGGATTTGAACCTCCAACCTTTCAGTTGATAGTGGTATGCAAACCTTTGTGTACTACCCAGGGACTTAAATGACAATGTTAGGAGGATTCAGTGGAACTCTGCCTGGCTGTGTCTATCGTCCGCTTCCCTTGGTCTCCAGGAGAGTTTATACTTTCCTCTGTTTAGAAACTGTCCAGCTGAGCACAATTCAATAAGCATTTATTAAAAATGGCAATGTATGAGATGCTACCCTTGATGTGGAAATGTAAAGATAAAACAGATTCAGTCCCCATTACAATGCTAATGAGGGTGATATTTGCCCAACACATGAGGCAGCAGGTGATATGGGCTAAAGAGGAAGAGTCATGAAAAGAGCCACTAGGTGTGAGGATCCAATTTGAGAAAACCTTGTGGGCAAAGAGGTGTGGACAATGTACTTTGAAGGATGCATAGAAGTTTGCTGGGTATGCTACTGCTAGAAGGACCAGCATTAACAAAGATCTTGTGGGTAAGGGTGGGAAAGCATGGCTTCTCTGGGGATGGGGACATGGTCTGTTGTGTCTGGGATGCAGACAGAGAGTGAGAATCAGATCCTGGTGGAGGTTTTGCATGCCAGGCTAAAGAGTCCTGGTTTCATGTTTTAAGCAATGTGGAGCCATTGAAAATTCTTGAGCAGGGGGTGGCATTTTCAGCAAAAGGTAATGAATTATGGGGGAGAGAGGGTGACACTAAGAAAGTAGGTGATCCACGTGAGAGGCGATGCAACAGAGCAGACAGGGCGCAGGAGGAGGGAGAGTGGGTGCACCCAGGGAGCGCTGTTGCCACGTGACTTGGGCAGTGATTCCCGTGTGCACCTGCTGACTGACAGCCATTCCACACTGGCAGGAAGGGTCAGATGAGAGAGGCGAGGTGGGTGGGTCTCCCAGACCCTTCAGGTTCACATGTGGCTCCTCTCACAATGGAGACGTGGTCAGTGGGCATGGCCACTCAGAGTGGAGGATATGGCTAAGTAAGGCGTAATGGGCTTCTGAGCCAGCTTAGGGCTGGCTGGCCGCCCGTTCCCAGGGAGTGGGAAATCTGGTCCAGCAGTCTGACTTCTCTGACCTCAGCCTTCCAGGTGAAGCCTGCCGCCTCCCACTGCCAAGTTCACAGCCAGCTCAAGGCTCCCAGCTTCTGTGCGTCAAGCTGAGCACAAGCCCTTGGGGCTGAGCCAGTGCCTAGAAACTGTCTGGATGTGGAAAAGAGCACTGGCCCTGCAGTGGCCACTTGCTGGCTGGGTGACCTTGAGCATGTCCATTAGCCTCTCTGAGGCCCAGCTCTCACATCCTCCAGCTCCAGAGTTCAATCTCATCAAGTAGACACAAGTCCTTTGTGAGCTTTGATAGTACTTATGCCCTGTGCCAACAGATTTGGCATTAGAGCCAAATGTGGATCCCCGTCCTCCCACTCACTGGCTGTGGGACCTTCACAGTAGACTTTATATATAAATGGGGATAATCAGAAGGTTAACACATATTTTTGACACCTTCTATCAGGCATTGAGAGCATTAGCTCACTTGATCCTCAAGATCATCTGATGAGGGAAGTATTATCTCAGCTTCACAGAGATGATGAAGGTACAGAGAAGCCACCCAAGATCACACAGAGAAATAACTGCATGAGAGTTTGAATACCAGTCCTCGATTATAGTAGAGCGCCCCCTTAGAGGGCACTCAGTGGATTAGATCACGATGGTTGGCAAGCAGCAGACATCGAAAATGCTCAGTGGATGTTGGCTATTCAATCACTGAATCATTGACTTAGAGACCAGGAGAAATCTGAAATGCTAGCTAGTTAAGTGCCACGCCAAAGCCTAAATTTCCTCTACAGTACTGCCACGCTACAGTCATCAGGCTCTTTACACATTTCCAGTGACAGGGAACTTACTACCTTGGAAGGCCTAACATCAGAGGGTCAGGGAGGGGTCATCCTGTCCTAAGACCTGCAGGCCAAGCTGAATTCCTCTACCAAATGCTTAATGCTCTTCTCTCCTCATTACCTGTCCCTCTCTTCCTGGAAAGTCTCAAAACAGGATAGGGACAAACATAGCAAAAGTTATTATCCAAGTCCAAGGTCATGTCAGCCTTTTCCTCACTCTGTGGATCCAGCACCATCATACGAATTTTATTGATGATGTAAGCCAAGCCAGAGAGACTTTCGTGTCCCCCCCCCCCCAGCGGCCCAGCTCAAATACATCCAGTAGAGCTTAGTCCCCTAGACTTGATGTCTATCATTGAAGACATGGGAGAGAAAGTCTATTTCCCAGAGGGTAGGTCTAGCAGATATCTAAAGCCCAGGGTTCGAAGGCTGGTTCCTGGGTGATAAAATATATGGTACCACCACGCAGTGTTCTGTTCTCATGACATCACACAATGAAACATTTTCTCTTCCCAGTTCTCTTGTAAGCCTTCAGAAAACACAAAGAAAGTCGCTGCTGGATGCTAATGGGTCTTTAACATGTCTCCAAACCTCCCAGTCTTCCTTTTTAACATACAGCACATCTAAAGTCTTGGCAGGCCACAGGATTCAGCCAGAATGCAATAACCTCACTTTGTTTTCATTGTGTTTATTTTTACCCTTATCTTCTATTTATAGTGAGCAATACCGGTTTCCTATTTATGGCAGTGATATAATGATTCTCTGGGGGGAAAAATGTTTAAGGGCTCAGTTGGTGGGTCCTGGATTTAAAGAAAATATGAAGTAATAAATGTGGCCTGAATCTATGGTACGAAAGGAATGACTGATGTCTGACCTAACAGAAGAGTCTCATTTAAGGGCGAGAATGAGGGCCAGCCAGACACTGACCAATCCATGCGCCCCTCCTATCCTGCGCGCTCAGGCCAAGGTGACTCGGTGGCCCCCCTCCTGGTGGCACGTGCATGACCCATGTGTCAACCAGTGACATCCCGCGGCCCTTGGGGGCTTCAGGATGGAGGCAGAGGCTCGGGGCGGGTGAGTCAGGCACTACGAAGGCTCTGGGGGCTCTCCGCGCGGAAGGAGGGTGCGGTAATGGATGGCATGGGCAGCGGCGGACACAGCGTTGAGAGGCTGGCGCCGGGTGGCTCGGTTAGCGGCGGGACCCTCGCGGGTCACCTGCAGCGGGCTGGTGTGCGTGTGAGTGTGTGCACACACGTCAGCCTTCCGGTCACGGTGCGCAGGCCTGCTGCCTCGGGCCACCCTCCAGCTGCCCCGGCCCCACGCGCCCGGGCACGCGGAGCCTCCAGACTGCGGCGTCCAGGCCGCGGGGGGACGGGCCGGGCGCGGGCGGGGCCAGCAGCGGGACGGCCGCCCATTGGCGGAGCGCGGCGCCGGGGGCGGGGTCCCGGGGAGCGGGCTCCCTGCGCGCAGGGGCGGCGGGCGGCGGCGGGACAAGCTGCGAGCAGGAGCAGGTGGGCGCATCGCAGCGCAGCGCGAGGGCAGAGGGGACGCGCGGAGTCGGGCTTCCGTCTGTCCAGATCGCAGTCAGGAGCTGGGGCCGGGAACACTTCTGAGAGGGGCAAGGGACCTCTCCCTGCGGGAGAGAGAGGAGGGTTCGCCTCCGAGAGCAGGCAGGAGCGCGGAGGAGCCACGGCCCCGCGGGAAGTTCGCCTCCAGGGGGGCGCAGGAGGCGGTGAAGGGGGAGGTGGAGCCGCTTTTCAGGATAACTTGGCTCCGAGAAGCTTTGGAGCGGCGTTCCAGGCCCCTTCCACACGCGCACCGAGCTGGGCGCCTGCTGCTTGGTGGCTTGGGGCTCCGCTGCGCAGGGGACAAGGCAGCCGTCCTTCCCACGGGCGAGCGCTGCGGACAGCCCCCCAGACACCCTCGGTAGGGCCGCCAGGGCGGTTCACCTAACCTCGGACGCACGCACCCCGCAGCCCCCTGAGTCTCCTGGGGACCTCTCTTAAGCGCCTGCTCGCCCCTACCACCCCAACCCCATATCCCCAGACGGGGACCCCAGAATCCGACGTCCTCGCGCCCCCGGGCTCCTGGCTCAGCCGGAGTCACCCGGGTCGGGGCAGGGCAGGGCCGAGCCGGAGCCCGCCCGGTGCCCAGGCCCTCCCGAGCCCTCGGAGCCCACCCATGGGGCACCGGCTCCCCACACCCCCTCTCCCGATCGCGCCCAGCCTGGCGGCAGGAGCGGCGCAGAAGAGGAGCCGGGCGCAGTGACCCCGGAGCCACCGCAGACTCGGGGCTGCTCGGCGGCGGGCGGCGCGGCGGGCGGGTCCCCACACCTCCAGGCGCTTCCCGGCAGCCCTCCGAGCCGTGCCAGAGGACCATCACGCCGATCCCAGGTAGGAGACCGACACCCCAAAAGGACGAGGGAGACGGGTAAAGTGGGGCTCTCGGGAAGAAAGGTTGGGGACTCTGTCGGATGCTGCACTCTGTGTGTCTAGGCATAGATGAACTGAGCACCTTGGAAGGTGCCGGCAACTTTCGCTACTCAGTTACGTTAGATTACACCTACTACGGTGCCAGGCTGGGTGCTAAGCTCTGCACCTGTCCCAGGAAAGGAGGTTTAATGAACACTTAACATGTGCTAGTCCGCTGACCGAATGATCCGTGGTTGAAATACAGCTTAGTGGAAAAAAAGACGGGCGGACCCTTCCCCCAAAATTTGCAGCGGGGAAACCATTGAGAGTAACTGTGAGTCAGAATGTACCCCACTTCTAGGTTGGATGCTTACTAATCAAGGGCTCTATTTATTTAGATCCATTTATATATGAAGAATATAAGGGTGAAATAGGAGGAACGTCCCTTGCCTCCCCCAAACACTCCTTCCTCCTTCCTGTGCCTCCTGCAGACTGGATGCAGGCAAGGAGCCTCAGTGAGGGAAGATTAAAAAACCCCTTCCAGTCCACAGCTTTCCCCCCGCCCCTAGTTTGATTTAGTGAGTGCATGTGTTGGGCAATTCTGGGCTGAGTTCAGTGGCTGGAGGGAGGACCCCTTGGCAACAGCTCTGAGGTCTCTCTCTGCATCCCATTCCTCCACCAATAAGCCCCAGAGAGATGACGAAGGACATTGTCCAGGTAGGAGGCCAGGTCAGGAAGGGGGAGTCAGCTCAGGGGGCCTGTGATTCAGGCTTTCTCTGGCTTCAGAGAGACCAGGTGGAGGATGGGCCTACTCCTTAGTACCCCCTAAGATCTCTGCCTCCCCATCTCTCCTGGTTTCTCTAAGTAGCCCCCCAACTGCCAAAAGAAGGGAACCCAGTATTAGCTTCCTATGTGCGAGGAGTTTTTCCTATTTTTTTTTAAACCTAACTTTTATTTTTGTGACACTTTATTTAATTGTTGTTGCTGTGTGCCATCAAGTCATATCCAGTTGGCACAAGAGGAGACTGCCCCTCCTTCTCCAGTGGAGCATCTGATGGATTCGAACCACATGTTTTAGGGATTACAGCGCAGCTTCTTGCCACTAGGCCACCAGAGCTCACTAATCTTTCCTCTTGATGGACTCTTGTGTAGCAGGGCAGGTTTGCAACTACCATACCCATTTCACAGATGGCTCACCCAAGCCCCACTGGGCCAGGTTACTACTTAGCAAGAGAAATGCAGAGCTGGCTGTCTGAAGCCAATGCCTACCTGCTTTCTACCATGCTGAGCTGCCAAGGGAGGGGAGATTGGGGTCTGCAAAGTCCCTTTCCATGTGAGGAATGGGGGGACTCACTAGAGTATGCCTGGTGTGACCTGCTTGCATGGTAGAGCTAGAGGTGTGTGTGTTGGGCTGTGGGAGGTGGAGTTGCAGCTGAAACAAGCTCTGGGGCATACTCCAGGGGATGAATGTGTCCAGACTCCCTGTATTCTCGCTCCAGCTGAGCCCTCCATCCCCCAACCCCACTCTGGGGCACAGGCTCAGAGAGGCCGGGAGCTGGATGAGCAGGGTCTGGGGGAGAGGCCTGGCCCGGGTGCCTGGAGGAGGAAGGGAATGAGACTATAATACACTCAGGGGTCATTCTCCCGGCTGAGGCTGTGATGAGTCAGAAGCTGCTTTGAAAAGGACTCTTGGTTTTGGCCAGGGGCTGAGTTTTTTTCTAGAGTTAAGAGCCCAGGCTTTGGAGCCAAACCGCCACGTTCTGCTCCCAGGCTGGCCAGTCACCTGCTTTGTGAGCTGGGGTGAGTGACTCACCCTCTCTGAGTGTTCCTATCAGGCAAATGGGTCATGATGGTCTCATGCTCGTGGGAGTCGTTAGATAAGGCTTGAAAAGCTCCTGGCTCAGAGGATGCCCGCAGATCCCATGCCTACTCCAGGGATTTTCTGCCTCTCAGCTGCCCACAGGGTGGCCCTGGACTGGATTATCTGAGCCTCGGGGGCTTGTGGTCAGGCATTGCGCTGCTGGCCACTGAGTCCCCCACCTCTGGGTCTCCGAGGGCCTGCCTGCCTGCGCCTCCCCAGACACCAGCTTCCTGGTGAGGGAGGAGCTTGTAGAACAGGTTGGGGATGCAGGAAGCTGTGTCCAGTCCCAAGTGGAGATGGGAAGGAGAAGGGGAGGGAATGGGGGGGCGGAGGCCCTGCCACCTGCTGCCTAGGTGTCTGGGTGCCTCTGCAGCCCCACGTGTCAGGGGCCATGTGAAGGCCACCCAGCTGGTTCTGAGAAGAAGCTTCTCCTTTCCGCCCTGTCTCCTTTCTGATTTACTACCTCTCCTGCCTCCCGGCCTCCTCTCTCTGATTCCTTACCTCCTTCTCCTGATTCCCTGTCTTCTCCTGACTCTCTGCCTCCTTCCCCATTCCTTGCTTCCTCCTCGGACTCGCTGCCTTCTCCTTCTGACACCTTGCTTCTTCTATCTAACTCCATACCCCATCTCCCTGACTTCTACCTCCTTCTCTATTTTTTTACCTCCCCCCTCTCTCGCGCGCACGCGCCTCACTCTGATTCCTTGCCATTTCCTCCTGCCTCCCTGCTGCCTGTCTTTCCTGCTTTGCCTCATTTTTGACTCCTTGCCTCTTCTCTCTGATTTTCTACTTACTCTCTGATTCCTTACCTCCTCCTTCTGACTCCCTGCCTCCTCTCTCTGACTCCCTACCCCCTCTTCTCTGCCTCCTTACCTCCTCTTTTTGACTCCCAGCCTCCTCTCTGACTCCCTTAGGAGTCACTGATACTAACATACCTGTACCAGCACCCCTGGGTCCGCAGAGCAGCACATACTGAGACAAACACGGTCCCTCAGGTCCCTTTCTCTCCTCTGTCTAGACAGAGGTGACCAACAGTAGAGCCAGGCTTCCTGCTGAGGGCCTCGCAGGAGGGAGCTGTCCGAGTGGGAACCTTTCCCCGCTCCCATCCCATCTGAAGGTGAAGACTGGCCATAGCAGGCGGGAAGGAGGCTGAAAAGGAAGAGCTCACTGCTGTGGGTCATGCAGCTCCCTCTCCCCACTGCCCATCTGTGGGCATCTCCATGGCCGTGGCCTAGGACATGGGGTCCTCCTTAGAAAGTACATCTCTCCTGAGCACAGCCCTGGGCCAGCAAGGTGTGGGTGGGGAGCCCCAGAGCTTGAGCAGAAACCCTTGACCTTTCTTTATTTTCACTGCAGGTTCATTTATTGACCTGTTGTATATATGGCACCACACACAGTCCAGTGGGATCAATTCAGAGCTGGCTTTAGGCAGGGATGAGAGGCATGTAAGATTGTAGGCCTATATAACTGCCTGCTGAACTACGTGGACTGGTCACATAGCCTTTCTGCATGTCACAGTCCATATTTATAGAAGAGGAACAAAGATATGCCCCTCATGGGGAAGCGAGCAGGAGGCTCTACGGCGTGGGGTGGACTGACTGGACGCAGGTCCTCACTTCGCTGGTTACTTGCTGTGTAACATTGTCCCATTTTTACAGGCTCTCTCTGCCTCACCTTCCCATGTGTCAAATGGGAAAAAACACCTTTCTGTCTTCTGGGGCTACTGAGAGGATGAGGCATGTTGATATATATGTGTAGCGCTTAGAACAGTATCAGGCACCATGTTAAGGACTAAGTAGATTTTTTTTTCTTTTTTTTTCTATAATTATATTTTATTAATTTTCATAAACATTTACAGAGATTTTGGGTTTCCATTCATTCATTGTTGCACTATTCTCTCTACCCTCCTCCCAGTTTGTTCTTGTCCAAATGCCACAGTGCTTGTCAAAGCCAGTTCTGATTAATCTTCTTTGTCAGTGTGTCCTTTGCCATTCCCTATCACTCCTCCCTGAGAGAGACTTCACCCTGAGTCATAAGGAAAAGGGGATGGCGTATTCTCTTAGCTACTTCCTGCTGAAAAGGGACGCTGTGGGTGTCAGGGTGAAGATCTTCTCTCACTACTCTAAAGGGCCCCTTTGGCAGTAGGAAACACATAGACTATTATGGAGATTGATTTTGGAATTTAGATGCACTCTTATTGATTGTGCTTGGCTGTACATGTTCATATCCTTGAAGATGTATCATGGGGGTGTTGCAACCTAGAAGACACAAATTTGACTAACAAGTTATAAGTACATGAGTCCAAAAATTATGGAAAAGTAAAAGAAAAGATTCCTTCATTGTTTTACAAACCCTCCCCCAGGTCCCCTCCACCATGTAGCCCTCGCTCTAGTCTCTTGTGATGACAGAAATACCTAGTTATATCTCTCTTTTAAACAGTTTTCTCCCTCCTCTGTTTCAGTGCAGTATACATTATTGAACCCATCTTACTCAGTCTCTCCCCAACCCCAAGGACAGTCCCATTCTACAACAGTGGCATCATGTAATATAGGACTAAGTAGATTTCAGCTGCCATCGTTGGTAAATACGGCACACGCTTAACCCTGGACTTGACCCATGGCACAGGCTTAGGTAATGTCTGCGGTCACCATGGGTCAGTGGTGTGCTGAACCAGCTGATGCCAAGGGCGTTTTCCAACTTCGAATTCAAGGAGCTCATGTAGGTAGAGTCATGGCTAGAGTGATCAATCAGCGAGTTTTCACTTCTACCATGGACGTGGGTAAACATTGTAAATCAGAGACTTTTAGCAAAGTGGGCTTGAAAGATGGTGTAACAGTGCACGCACTTGGTTGGTCAGGGTGAGCACACGTAGAGCCCTTGTGCCCTGGATGAGATGTTTGCTGGAAGACGCCGTGTAAGAGGCCCACTGTACCATCCCAGACTCCAAGCATCATGGCAGACGGAGAACATTGGTGTTGGTGAGGGTCTTAGGGCAGCTGACTGGGGGCAGCCACCGCAGCCGGGACGACCATCTCCTTTGTGCACACGGAGAGGAGGTGACTTCTCTGAGCTTATGCGCTCAGCAGGAACCCCTTCCTCTGGCCGTAGCTTGCTCACCCAGCTTGGCGCTTTTGTGCAGTGCACAGCCCACACAACCATATGTAGCAGGCCTGTAGACATTGTAGTTCTTTACCTACGATGCTTTTCTCTAGAGAGGAGTAACTCCTGCTGGGATAAGGAGGAACAGTGGAGCCTTCAGGAGACGAGATGGTGTTTAACCAGGGCTCTGAAACAAGAGATGGGAATAGGGTGTCTTGGGAGAATAAAGGAGAGGAGAATTCAGCCAAGCTCAGATTAACTTGAGTGACTGGTGCTTGGAGGTCCTGGGAGACTCTGGCAGGGACTGAGCTGAGAAAGGAGGATGGGCAGGCCTTTTGGGGAGATTTGACAGGGGCTTGCGGAGTTTTACTTACCTCCATTTGCAGTTTGGAGCTTGGATTCATTTAAGCTTCTTCTACCAGGAGACGATGCTTCTGTAGAAAGTTGGGGATTTGCCACAGAATTGTGAGGGAACCTGGAGTCACCCGTGGGCCATTCCTGGTCCTCACCCCCTAGCCACTCAGACTCTTATTTGTGAAGCAGCTTTGCTGTAGGAAGGCCCCTCCCAAAGCCCCATACCCCAGTTGAGCTGTGGGTCGGCTGGAGGTGGATGAACTCTCAGGGCCTATGGGACCAAAGGACAGGGGTAGAAGAGGGGCCGCTCTGGGGGCGGGAGGAGCCCCCAAATGCAAAAGGTGATCTGACAGTGCATTCTGGGGTGCCTCTAGGAACTACCCCAGCACTGGCTTGGAGCTTGGTAACGTGTTCAGGGTGCAGCAGCCCCCTTCCTGGGAGTGCTGAGTGGCTCTGTCTCCCCTTGCACTATATGTAAGAAAAGCTCTCTGTGATGATTTGAAAATCATTGCCTAACTTGGGAGGGACTGGAGAGCCTCATGCTAAGTGAAACATACCCATTATGCTGAATGAACTAATTCAGTCCCGTAAGGACAAATACTGTCTAAGACCATTATTGGAGAAATAGATAACTAAGAAAATGTGTATGAGGATCCAAGGTGGGGAGGGTAGGAGCAGAGGGGGGAGGGTGATCATAGGGTCGCAAAATTTGATGGATGGAGGGAGAGATGAGTAAAGGAAATGGGGAAAGATCCAGTGTGAAAAAGAATGTATACGAACTTTGGAAGGAAACCAGTAGAAAATAAAAATTCTGTTTTTTTAAAAAAGAAAAGCTCTCTGGTACCTTCCGCACGCCATGGCCTGGAACCCCAGGCTCTTCTTGGGAGGCCTAGTTTTAAGATGAACCAGGGAAAGAACAGATACAAAGGCTACTTAGCCAGTTCAGAGTCTACATGTGAGTCTCTGTAAGTTGGGTCTCTATTTTACAGATGAGAAAAGAGGGTTAAGCTGCTCGTCCAAGTTCAGTGCTGCCTTCAATGTTGTTGGGTACCATCAAGTCGGAACCCCCCATAGCTGGACCTTTCAGCGGGGTTTCAGAGGCAGTAAATTGCATGGGAGGAGATTGCCCACTTTTCTCCCGCAGAACAGCTAGTAGTTTCAAACCTAATACCTTTGGGTTGGCAGTGCATGTCCTTACCACGAGGCCACCAGGGCTCCCCCAGGTCAGTGCTAGTTATGGGAAAGCCAAGCTTCCAGCCGCAGTGCCTCTCCGCGCTAATATCTTGTGGTTTTGTGTCATTGAGTCAGTTCTCACATGTTACAGGGAAAAATTGTGCCCTATAGGGTTTTCTAGGCTCTGGTGCCATTGTGGCTTAAGTGTCAGCTGCTAACCAAAAGGTGATAGTTTGACCTCACCAGCTGCTTCACAGGACACAGATGAGGAAATTGTCCATTAAGATTTGCAGAATCAGGCATTGACTCAAAGGCGGTGGGATTTTTGTGTTTAATCATTATAAAAGCAGATTGGCAGGCCTCCTCTTTTTCAGCACCTCTGGGTGGGTTCAAGCCACCAACCTTCCTGTTACCGGTCAAGTACAGCACGTTAGCGTTTGTTGGTTTAATCTTTCTGAAAGCACATCGCTAGGCCCAGAGTGACTGGTGGATTTGAACCACCAAACATTTTGGTTAGAAATCCAGCATGTAATGTACTAGGGCACTTGTTATATGAGTCAGAACTGACTCCTCGCTGACCCTCCAGCAGGTTTTCAGAGGCAGTGAATTGTACAGGAGAAGATTGTCTAGCTTTTTTCCCTAAGGAGCAGTTGGTGGATTTGAACCACTTGTCTTTGGGTTGGTAGCACGACTCTACCCATTAGGTCACAAGAGCTGCTTATTCTGCCACTAGAGCTCCAAATTAAAAGGCACATTGCCATGGGAAAGTCTGCTGTTAGGGACCTCTCCAAAGTACTGAAGAGCAATGGTGTCTCTCTGGAGACTAAGGTGCGTCTG